TGAGACCAAGCCCTCTAGTTAGCAGATAGCGAGGGGAAATTTATTCTACAACCCATGGCATTGAGGTTCTTCTGCTTCTTTTTGTCCTTCACTCCTGGCTCCCTCTTGACTATTTGAAACAAACTCCTACATTAATAAGATCAGGTTTAAGTACCCTCATACAAAGTATTTTCTGCCAATACAATTCTGTTCATGTAACAGTTTTAAATGATGCACGGTGGTACCCTACCGTCATCCAGCTCTGCACCCGTGTCTCCCTCTTCACCTGCCTGCCCTTCTGTGTCTGCAGGCTCTGTGCCCAGCTCGTCCTCCACATCATTATCCTCCCATGGAGCTAGAATATATTTGAATATTGAGAAAAAAAGAAAAAAACCAACAAACTATACAGTGAAAAGGTTCTGCATTGAACTGTACCAACAGTTTATAGTGGAGATATATTTATTAATTACTGCCAAAATAAGAAATCATGAAATGTGTCACCAAGAAAGACGTCTATGGTGAAACGATACTTCCAGACTCCAACGAATCAAGGAATGCCTGCCCTTGGGGAGTCTCCAAGACATCTGCAGTGAAAGCAGCCAGGGCTTTTCTGAGCAACAGGCCTTGTGAAAAATTAAAGAAGGGGACTGGGAGGATATGAAACCAGAATAAAGTTTACTGTTCTTCAGGGAAGATTATTTTTTTTCTTTACCACACCAGAACAGTTACCACCGCTTTATAGCAATATGTGTATTAGGTGAAAACTGAAATCTCGCCATGTACCACAACTGTCCACCCTGAAATTAAAACAGGCTTTTGACGGTGTAAGTCAGAGACAGTCTAGCTCTGGGATTGATCATTATTACATCTGGAAACTGTTTGACTCCATGCAGCTACAGTAGTCTTTGGTAAAAGGGTCTAAGAGACTCGATATGCTGTACATGTAACTAGGACGCAAATTAATTGAGATATTTTTAAGTAAATAAAAAGATATATTCAAAACTTTCTTTTCTGTTACAGATCATAACTTGATTTGCTGGGTCAAAATAAAGAAAAGATTCTTGAATTTGTAACTCTGAAAAGGCCATTTGACATTACTACTTGTGACAGGATTTAATTACAGGAGTAGAGACAAGACCAAACTGCGGGGTCTAAATTTCATTATTAAATGATACTTTTTTAAAAAAGCCTAAGCCTTCTGATACCTTGTCCCATCTCTAGTGCTATGGATGATTTGCTCAATCTTTCTTTGTTAAGCATTTTCATAAAACTTAATTTAAATATAAAAAAAGAAGTGAGCACTTCCAGGGTTTGTTTTTTTTTTCACAGTAGAGTAGGTCAACTGCATTTTTAGATTTGTGCAGCAAGTTAGCATCAGTTCATGTCCAACAATATGCAGACATTTAACTCTGTTGTATATCCTACTGCAAATGCATACACAGTCAGCATGTATTATTATGCACAACGTTTGCTCATTATCCACATAAGATATGGTCCTATAATGATGATAACAGGTATATTTATAACCTTCTTGGCTGCACCTACACCAGTAAACTAAGCAGTTGCAAGTGTCTAGACCTGCATGCATACCGTGTCACTCTGTCATCTTTAGGAGGGCTCCTGGCATGACCCCCAGCAGTTAGTTCCCACGGCAGGGCTACAGGCTGTTTCCAGTAGGTAGTCCAGACACAGTGACTGATGTGGCTTTTGGAACCATTTATATGCTAGCACTGCTAATTAAGACAATCTTGAAAACAAACCAATCCTCCTTAAAATTGAGGTCTTGAAGCCTCTCCTGTTTCTCTTAATACAGGTTTTTGCTTATTTCAAAACACAGCCTTCAGTGGGTGGTTTGTCTTCCTCCTTCAACCTGAGAACCTCTCTTTTTCTATGCTTTTCCCTACTGTAGTATTAAGACAGACAAATATATGGGCTAGTTTATTTTCTGTCAACTACTATGAAAAGGCAGTTACACTTATGTGTGATAAAGCACTGGCCTAATCCAGTACATCAGAAGCTTATAAAGTCCAGAATCTTACAGATGTTCAGCATAGGAGACTGCATCATATGGTAAAGGCATCATATGGTAAAATGCCCACAGGGGCATTTACAAATCTACTGAACAAAACCAAACTGTGTCCCAGTCTGATTGTTGCTTAGGTGTGCAGTAGCTTATGTTATTTCGGAAATAATAATGTCATGGGATGGTTTTATGGTAGCAGCAAATGTGAGTGATCTTAATCAAAACTTGCAAAAATGTAACTCTGATGTTAGGAGTATCTGATACCACTATGTATATGTGTGTCTTCAGATCCAGAAACCATGAACTGACATGACACACATAGGGAGTGTTGGAGAGAGAGGAGAAAATAAATTCTTAAGATAGGTTGGTACACAAAACTCAACAGAAGATTACAGATGCATAGATAAGTAACAACTTGGTGCAAGGGTGGATCCCATTTTGAGGGATATGGAGAGCTTGCAGGTGGCTGGTTATAGTATACATATACTGTGCATATACGTATATGCAGTTAGGATAAGGAGCAAGAGGCCAAAAGCTGTCACACAACAACTCAGAAGCTACACACTATGGCAGCCAGAAACTGGGATCAGCACTTGGTTCGTATCAGCTAGCAGCTGTGAGCAGACTGCATCGTGTGCAGACATCTTGTAAACACTGCTGCCTTGCCAAAGCAGCAGCAGAAGCAAAGTTTTATAGGCAAGCTAGCTATTCTGATGTGCCAAAGCAACCTAGCTGCAGATCAACTACCCAGCCACAAACTACTGCTGTTCCGCTGATTTAGATACCTTCACCGCTTTACACAAATTTACTCCCTTACTCTAATCCCAGAATCTTCATGCTCATCGGTTTTGTAACAGAGCTTAGAGGACCACATAAAAGAGGCAGCTGAGTCTACCACCCTTCAACTTTCCTGAAGCTTTCCTAAATAACGTGAACCCCAAGTCAATGGAGACACAACAGCCATCACTATTCCTAAAGATCCCAGCTTCAACCTTATTCGTCTCTCTTTTTTTTTTTTTCACCAGATAACCAGAGTTTGTAGTTGCTACAGAGAATTGCAATTGCTTTAAGCACTCTCTGACACTTAATCTTTTGACTGCAAGAAAGCCCTGTGTTCTTTTAGCCAAGGAGCTAGGGGAAGAATAACTGGTCCAGTCTTCAGTTTACAAAGCAAATCAAAGCACTCAACTAGATTCCTCCTTCTACTTTATTACACCCAAGGTAACCTCTCTGTTTGGCCTGCCTTCAGGAGGGTTACAACAAATGTCGAGTTCATGCAAGAATGGGCTGTCTGAGCAAGGCGTGCATGCACACTCCCCTTTCCTCCCTCCCTCCATGTCCAGTCATGCAGTAGCGACAGGGCCGTAAGTTCCAGGGTTAAAGTACCAGCTCAGCTGCTGAAGGCATGGAGAAGAGACGGGCAGGGTTATTGTGCATTGGAATACATAGAACATCACCAAACTACCTCCAGGGACCGTCTCCAGCCACGCCTGTACCGCCTCATGGCGTACGGAAGGAAGGTCGGATGCTGAATTTGAAAAACAATAAATTGTAAGAAATCAAAATTAGACCATCAGTAAGCGTCTAAAACAGAAGAGTGACAAAGGGAAATTTTTCAGCAGCAAATGCAGAAATAAAACCTATGAGATGTTAAACAACCGACTCCAGGCTTGGGATTTAAATTGAGGTAACAAATGTCAGGGGCCTAATCTTCCTTTAGGATCTGCAATGTTAGAGGAAATATGGATGGCACAGTGAGAAAAACAACACATCTGACCAGCAGGTTGCTGCTGCTCTGCTCCACTTGAAACTCTGCAGAGGAGGGAAACGAAGAGATGAAAGAGCTGAGCAATGAGAGAGGGGCGGTTGTAACAAGCATCCCAGAACCTGCGCTGCCCGGGTGTGAAAGATGAAGAAGAGCACCCAAAGCATAACGAGAGGGACTTCTGTGTACCGTCATGCTGTCCCAGGCTTTCACATCAAACCCTATCGCTGCTGCTACTGAGGGGCTCTCCGAACTCCTTGTATCACAGAATACAGCTCAGCCAGGAACAAAAGCTATTGAACTCGGGTTCAAAACTTGCAGTGTATCCACAAGTA